GATAATCATGCGGATCCCACGACTCGGCAAGTAAGTAATTGGCAGCGCTGACGACGAGCTCCCGCCTCACGGGTAGGTTAATTCGATCCAGACGGTCAATATAAGCACAAATCGCCTTTTCCTGGTTCCAACTAAGCTTGTGGCCGTGGCTGGCACGCTCCTTAAGCGACATTCTGCCGGAAATACTCTAACCGAGCTTCCGGCGCGGAACAGAGTGCTGTAAAATTAAATTTGGGCATTGTGGTGGAAAGTGGTGGCTGTGGTGATGTATGGTGGTAAATCGCGATAATTATGCCCGTATGGGTGATGAGTCCCGAGTTCCAATTAAAGTGGGGTCGGGCACGAGTAGTAGATTGGCCAACTTATTTTCCGAGAGCGCAAGATCGCAGACTGCTCCCAGCAAGCCTTGGCTTTTGCCTTGCCCATGTAGAAAGGATAGACGCTGACTAGTGTGTATGTATTACAGCATTCCATACTGGGGTATGTGATTAATATAATTAGGTTTGACGGGAGGCATACATGACTCAACTACCATATCGTGAAAATCACCGAGCTTCTCTCCCCGACCCCGAAACCACTAGGGGGTCTGGGAACGCGTATTCAAAGCCCCTGGTTAAAACCTCAGTGCGTAGGAAATTCAAATACTATCATATAGTATGAGGTAGCTACTTATATAAATGGTTGCGAGGACTTTCCGACTATTCAGTTTCCTGATTTCTCTTACAAGCTATCCAGATTGTCCATCTCAGCCAAAAAAAAAAAAAAAAAAAAAAAAAAAAACCCTACTACTGTAATCACCAACCGACTCTCGTTAATTCTCGACATCATGCAATTCACCACTCTCTTCGCTCTCGCAGCCGCCCTGGCCTCGCCAGCGATCGCAGCCTCTTGCAGACCCTACAACAACCCGGGCATGATGGAGGGCAACCGATGCACCGCCAAAGAATCATGCCCGTGGGGCCAGCGTTTCGGAGAAATCAAGGGATACAACTTTGGCGATTGGGGCAAGCCGTGCTCTGTTGATGTAAGACGCAGGTCGACAATGGGACTCACGTCTGGAGTATGCTGACACTTTGATAGTTCACCTGCTGTACTCGGTAAAAGCTTGCCAGGGGATACATAATGGAGTGGAAGGAAGGAGGGAGGCTCGGCACGCTTCGTTGGATTTACGATCATACAATTTTTTTTCCCGATTTGAATGGAAAGGCCAGTGGATAAAGAGCATTGCAAGTCATGATCGATATTGGTTTCGAAAATTCGCGTGTAGGGCCAATCTGCCGACTTCGAATATTAGTCCCGTTGTTGACAACTCCTTCCGAAAGTCAGCATCGTCAGTACGAAGCCTATTGGAGCTTCCTTCATCTCGGACACTGGAAGGATCGACGCTCTTCTTCAAAATTGTTGATTCTTCTACGTAAGACATAAGCGCTAGAATTTGAGTCATCTCGACTTTTCCCCTCCAGCGTTCACAACATGGTCGAAAGTGACACATTTCATTATCCACATTGAAGAACGCCTCTCTTTTTGGTCCAATGCAATCCAACGCCCTCGTTGAATGCTTTACGGAAGCAATCTCTTGGGCGTGCGAGGGTAGTACGCCGCAAGGTGGATACTGGGCAAAGCCAGGAACCAAGCAACCACGCGGTCGAGACCAATACCACCACCACCGTGAGGCGGTACACCAACCTGTCGGAAAACGTTGAGGTACTCCTTGATTCCGGCGCTTTCCGGGTCGATGCCCTTGGCGCGGATGCGCTCCTCGAGCTCGGCCGGGTCGTTGATACGTTGACCACCAGAGAGAACCTCCTGGCCACGGATGAAGAAATCGAAGGCGTTCGTGACACGGGTGCCCTCGCCAGTCGTGGTGCCGGCATCGTCAAGCTTGGCGTAGAATGGACGCGCCGTCTCGGGGAACTTGTCGATGACGTAGAAGTCGGTGTTATACTTCTTGCGCACGACCTCTCCGAGGGCCTTCTCTTGAGGGGTGCTCATATCCTCATCGTCACGGACGTTGGCGAACTCGGCGGGGCCCTCTTCACGGAGAAGCTTCTGGGCCTCAGCGAAGGTCAGGCGAACCTCCTTGCCAGGCTCGGGGAGGAGGAGAGGCTCGGAATGGTAAACGGATCGGACGGTCTCAATCTCGTCGGCGCATCGCTCTGTTTCAATGAGAATCATGGTTAGCATTTGCGAATGAAAGAAACAAACAAGGGACTTCGGGGTGGTTGTCAACTAACCCTGAATGCCACGGAAGATGGAAAGCAAGACGCCCTCCAGGACGGTGAGGACCTCGGTGTAAGACTGCTTGATCTCCATCTCCACATCGAGACCGGTGAACTCGGTCATGTGTCTCGGGGTGTTGGAGTTCTCGGCTCTGAAAACGGGGCCAATGCTGAACACACGCTCTCTGCCACCGGCAATCTCGAATTGCTTGTAGAACTGGGGCGATTGGGCGAGGAAAGCCTCTTCGCCGAAATATGCGAATCGGAAGACGTTTCCACCGCCCTCGGAGGCAGCGCCGATGAGGCAAGGGGGTTCGAATTCCTTGAACTTCTCGTTCTCGAGGTATGAACGGAAGATCTTCTTCACTTCGATACGGATATCCTGTGCCGGGTCAGTCAGTAACAGCATTGATAGCTTAGCATTGAGTATAGACGTACAGCAATGGCCTGCTGGACGGGAGCGCGCTTGTGCATGGCAATGTTGTCGAGGTGGGTGAGCATGGTTGCGGAGGGCACCGTGTTTTCGGCGGCAGCCTTGGCAGCCTTCTCCTTCTCGGCTTCGGCGTCGGCGGCCGGGGCCTTCTCGTCGCTGAAATTGACGATGGGCTGGCTGGCAGCTCCCAAGGTCATGCCAAGCATGGCGGGGGCCGGTGCGAGGACGAAGCACTTGGTGATGTGGAGCTCCAAACCAGAAACCCTGCAGCTCTTGACGGGCTCGAGAGGCTGCTTCACCTTGGCCTCAACCACGACATAACTCTCGGGTTGATGCTGGTGATCCACTTGACCATGCGGCGACTGACAATGGGCTTCTCGTCAGAGGCCATGAGAACACCCTGGATGTTCCAGTTGCCTCCCTTGCGGAGCTCGACGAAGCCCATCTTGGCACTCTGGACCCGGGAGTTCTGAAGCCATGCACGGACAATGACGGTCTTGCCATCGTGGGAATCGTTCAGGGCGCGGATCTCGACTTCTTCGGCGTCCTTGCTGAAGACGGGCTTGGTGCCGTAGTTGTCCTGGGCGGGGTCGTCCTCGAGAGTGACTGCGGCAGCTTGCTGGGCGAGCTCTGCGGCGCGCGCAGCCTTCTGGGCCTCCTTCTTAGCCTTGGCCTCGGCCTTCTTCGCGCCCTTCTTGGACGCCGGGGGTTCTGCTGCGTCGGCCATGATGCTGAGGTTTTTTTGTTATTTGCAATTGAGCTCGACACACGATCAGGCGTGGAATTGAGGGGTAAAGTCAGGTACAGAGTAATGGAGGGGCAATGAGGGGCAAGGTGGGAAAAATTTGGATGTCATTCCACCACGTGACTCTTATACCAGTAATGCACAGACCACTATAGCTCGGCGTGACGTGGTGGGATGGATTCGGAGAGCCTCTTTGAACAACTACGCGCACTTTGCTGGACTGCCGGGAGTCATATTGAAGTGTAAACACGGCTCACCGAGCTTCGAATATGCGGGTGACTCACTACCTAGCCGCATCTAAGCGTGATAGCGGTGCGAGTCTGTGGAAGTCGAAGCTAAACAAAGTACAAAGATGAGCTGAGCAATACTGGCGGTGATCGTCAACATGCCAGAAATCCCAGCAAGCTTTCTTATGTTACGATCGACATTGGTGTTGAATCAGCCACGTTCCTTCCCCGGGGATCATAATGATACCGTCTATCCAGAATGAGGAAGTAAAAGATAAAACAAATAAACTTGACGCCTGACCCAATTGCTTCGTCTTTTCCTCATCAGCATGATCTTCTATCAATCATTGCCGTAGTCATGAGATTTCAACATCAACTTGCTCTCCTCTAATCTGCTTACTATCGGTACAGCTTCTATGATTTCCCACTAAATTTATCGTCTGATGAGTGGAAATGAAAGCGTGGAAGCCCTTTCTGTCAATACTGAAGGATCCTAGGCCCAGGATCTCATCTGCGAGCCTCGCTTCCGGTGGTTTTTGGCGAAGTATGCGAAACAGAGGATAGACATCAGGTACAGGATTGAAGTCTAGAAGCACCAGGAGATGGATAACCGAGGCAAAGATAGGGCAAGCAAAAGGCACGCTGTCGTTGAATTGAGCTCTACTTATGCTTACACCCATGTTGCATTGTTATGGTGCCCCTCCACCTCATATCATATGTGCAAATTCGTTTCTTCGTCCCTACGCCAATCTTTGAATCCAATCTCCTCTAGTCCGTTCCGAGCCTCCACAGGCCATCGCCGAGGAAATGTGCCTCCTCCACAACGGGCCCCTTGCCCTTATCCTTGACCTCCTTGGTACCAGTAACCAAGAATCCGATGGCACACGCCTCCGTCTTTCCCTCCGCCATAACAACGACTGCCTCCCCCTTCTCCAGCTCCCGGCTCCATCTTCCTTCCTCGTCGACGCCCTCAGCGCCCTCTCGGGGCTCAGGCAACCGCCCACCCGCGCTCGTCAGCCCAGGAGCCATGAGCGTGGCGCCCGAGAGCACGAAGCGGATGGCGCCGCGGTCGATGCGGATAGTCGGAAAAGCCTGCGGGAAGCGGTGGACGAGCTTGAGGTGCGGGACGAGGGTGGCGTTGTCCTGCTGGTAGAAGAGGGGCTGCTGCTCGCAGACGAAGAGGGAGCAGCGGTCGGGCAGCTTCATCTGCTCGACGGATGCCTTCTTGGGCATCACTTCTTCGATGTAGGGGTTCAGGAGGGGGAAGCTCGAGAGGAGCGAGTCGCGGAGGGAGCGTTGGACGGAAGACTTGAGCTTCTGCTTCGGCTTGGAGGTGATGCTGGAGGGCGGGGTAATTTTGTTAGCTTTCTTGCGGGTTTTCTGTGGTTTGATCATTGAGTTGTTTGGACGGATGGCGACGTACTCTTTCTTGAACATTTTGGCGGTATTGAATCGACGTCTGCTAGGAAACAGAAAGGGGTATCACTGGTGTATTTGGGACGTCGTCGAGAACTGTCGCGTCTTTGGCAGTCTGTGGTGGTGGTTGATGGTGGGGTTGTTTGGAGCGAGGATCGCAGAGGAAAATTGCCCCGCAGTCGGGCGGGCGGGGCGGACCAATCATGCACGAATGGAGGGGCAGCCACTTCACGCGCGAGGGGCTTCGCAGTCGCATCACGTCACTTTGATCGATGGGAGAAAAGGAACAAGTTTCGAGGATTCGTGGTTTACGGAATTAAAAATCATAATTCTTCCAAAGGTCGTAACTATACTGTCATGCAAAAAGCTCTATCGTAACCCATGATCGCGTGCGCGCTTCTGGCGGCCCATGGTCAGAGTCTCTCTGAGCGTGGGAAGGCGCAGCAACTTCTTCGTCGCAACAGCTTAACCGTGGTTGACGTGAGAAACGGTGCCGTCCTCCTTGACGTGAACGTTGAGTCTGTTGGGTCTGAAATCCTTAGTGACCATCATGCCAGGCTCGATGACGCGCGACTCCTCGGGGAGATCCCTCTTGCAAAAAGTCTAGAATAGCATCACGGTTAGTATTGTCGAGCACATTCTCAACGAAGAGACTAAGGGCAAGCTCACTGTCTCATTTGACTCCTCCTCATGGAGCTTCTTGCCGACCAGCTTGTTGGTCCAGAGCTGGGTCTTGTCATCAGAGTCGTTGTTGTTAATACCGGGTACGACGAGAGGCATGATGGCGGTTGTGTCTGTGAGATTCTAAAGCTGTTGATTGTTGTCGGGTAGGTTGAGAGTATATGCGATTAGGTGTGTGAAATCGGTATGTAATGAGATTGAGTGAGACGAAGACTGGAGTAAGTGATGGTTTAATAGCAGTGATGGGTCGTGGACGTCCAAAACAGGAAGGTTGGAGGTCTAGAAGCTGCATCGACCGATGACGTCGTAATTGTGTGGGGGCGGGGGTTTTGTTCGCAGAACTCAGGGACTACCTAATACTCGTCCGACGCAAAGCGCCG